TCCCGCCGAGGGTTCGGATCCCACATACAGACCGGTTCCCGCTCACTGGCTGAGCGAGGTGTGGGAGCAACACCGAGGGTTGCGATCCCGTTGCCGGTCCCGGTCCGGTACGGGCGCGACACTGAGGGTTGCGATCCGTTGCCGGTCACGAAAAAAGACAAAAAAAAAAAAAAGTCAAAATTTACTATGATTCAAGCCACTTAATGGTCAGGCTTTCCTTTCAAACTCTTCTCCACTATTTATCTTTCTCCAGCAAATGTAGTTAGGAAAAAGAAATACAGGGGAAGGAAAATAGTCATTCTATCTTCAGCGTTGTCTCCACACATTCTCCTCCTCCCACTTGTATTATCTTTCTTTGCTACAGATATGAAAGTCACAGATCTTTTTCAATCGTTACTTCTTTTTTAGTTTCCCCCATAGGACCAAGTTGTGAGGCTACGACAAAAGTACACAAAACAAATACTTCCAGAACCCTGAAAAGTCAGAAGGTCATCCCATCTCTCCTTCCCAAATCCAACATCTAAAAGGCTTTGCTGTATGTCTCAATGTAGAAAGTATGACAGCAGCAAGGGCTCACAAGCCTCATAAGGGCTTAAGAGTAGAGATACTATGGCCGGCCCGGTGGCGCACTGCTACAATGCGCTGCTTGGGAAGTGCGTCGGCGCTCCCGCCGAGGGTTCGGATCCCACATACAGACCGGCCGCTCACTGGCTGAGCAAGGTGCAGGAGCAACACTGAGGGTTGCGATCCCGTTGCCGGTCCCGGTCCGGTGCGAGCGCGACACTGAGGGTTGCGATCCGATGCCGGTCAGGAAAAAAGACAAAAAGGAAAAAAAAAAAAAGAGTCGAGATACTAAACCCAACTAGCAAAATTGTAAGCTAAATTCTACTATACAAAACAAAGTACAGAAAGGATAATTAAGCCCAGGAACAATACCTACTTCTTCCACGCAAGTGCCTAGAAGTAAAAAGATAACATTTGTACAGCACAGGGAATCCTGGAAGGGGTTTGTCCCTATCTATATAGGGTTTGGTGAAAACATTCACTACATATTCTTTACATTGCATAAGAAAAAAATAAAATACCAAGATTTGGAAAGATATTAAATGTTGAATTTACATAAACTTCCCAATACATTTTTTCAAAAATGTTAATGATAAATTTGAGCCTTCCTCCATGCATCTACCTTTTTAATGTAAGGTTTCCTATTTGAAATGGCTACCTTAATTCCTGATCAAGAATTTTAAAAGATGATCTCTTCAAATTCTAGATGATCCCATCATATAAAAAACTGGTAAACTGATACTTCTTCTTAAAACAAATGTGATGTCTAAATTTCCTGTAATTATACAAACAAGTTCCTAAATCATATCTAAATCATATCTTTTTTCTTACCAAGTATTTCAAAATAATAAAGCTTGCTTCAAGCACACACAAATGTTATGCTACCAATGTTAATAAAATTCTGCTTAGTCTTTTTTAAGTAGTAAAAAGCTCAAACCTATTAAGAAATAGGCAGAAAGAATAATTCTAGAAAAAATGGGGTTAGGGCCGGCCCGTGGCTCACTCGGGAGAGTGCGGTGCTGATAACACCAAGGCCCCGGGTTCGGATCCCACATAGGGATGGCCGGTTCGCTCACTGGCTGAGCGTGGTGCTGACAACACCAAGTCAAGGGTTAAGATCCCCTTACCAGTCATCTTTAAAAAAAAAAAAAAAAAATTCACCTCCTACAGAAGAAAGATTAAGCATCACGTTTCACTTTCGTGAAGTGATTCATCTATAACTATACTTTTTCAAAGCTGAATTTTTGCTCTGAAACCATAAACTTTGTCGTTATAGTGTTTGTTATTTAGTTAAGTTCATTTAGGTCTCAAAAATGTCAATTAAGAGATATCTGCACTTCCATGCTTACAGCAGCATTACTCACAATAGCCAAGATAAGGAAACAACCTAAGTGTCTGTTAACGGATGAATGGATAAAGAAATTGTGATATATATAATAGAATATTCTTCAGCCTTAAAAAAGGAGATCCTATCATTTGTGACAACATGAAGGGCATTATGCTAAATGAAATAAGCCAGGCACAGAAAGACACCACATGATATAAAATACCACATGATCTCACTTATACATGGAATCTAATAAACTCATATACACAGAAACAGAATAGAATTGTGGTTACTAGTGGCGGGAAGTGGTGGAAACAAAGATATTGGCTAACGGGTACAAAGTTGCAGTTACGTAGGATGCATAAGTCTAGAGATCCAATGTACAGCATGATAACTAAAGTTACTAATACTGTATTGTATACTGAAAATTTACTAACAACGTAGATTTCAGGTGCTATCACCACACACACACATTAACTGCATGAGGAGACAAATGTTAATTTGCTTGACTAGTCATCGTTTTACTATGTACATGTGTATCAAAGCATCATGTTGTGTACCCCAAATATATACAATTTAAAATGTCAGTTAAGCAAAACCACTTTTTTTTCCTTTTTGTCTTTTTTACTGACCAGTAATGGGATCGCAACCCTTGGTGTCACGCCCGTACTGGGGACCGGCAACGGGATCGCAACCCTCGGTGTCGTGCCTGCACGGCGCTCAGCCAGTGAGCGGGAACCGGTCTCCACATGGGATCCGAACCCTCGGCGGGAGCGCCGCCACGCTCCCAAGTGGCGCACTCTCCAGTGCGCCACCGGGCCGGCCCCAAAACCACTTTTTAAAGTCAATAATTATCTTTCAAAGAACACAGAATCATTCCCATATGAACTCTGAATTCTTTTTAAATTCGTAAACTATTAAAATTTTCCTCTAGAAAACCAACACCTTAGTTTCAAACAGCAGAGTGGTATTCTGATCCCACTGTCTCACATGGAGAGTTGAAAGCAAACAGAATAGAGTGACTTTGATTTAACTAGATTTACCGTTTTGGTAATATCATTTAATGTGGAGTTCACATCTATAGTCCAACTTTTATATGAGAGCCTCTCTATGAATAAAACAAAGGATTACTTAAATCTTAGGTTTTTAAGCATGAACTCTTTGAGACTAAAATCTTTATACCTTCCTGTCTTATCAGCTATCAAATCACCATCAGTATACAAACTTAAGCAATGAATCTGTAATATCTAGTTTTGAATTATTCGTTTATCACTTTAAATTCCTATACCTCATATTTTGTTTAAAAACTAAACAGTTACTAAAATATATAAATTAATCAAATTATAATCAAAAATTTGATTTACTAGTGTTGTTTCTCTATCATATGACAAGATGTTAAGTATGTATACTAAAAGCATTATTCAGAAGTGATACCTCTTTCACTAGTCCCAAAGGAGGTACAAACAATTTTCACAAAAGCTGGGGGAAAAAAGTAATCCCATAATTGTGTAAAGCATTTGGGTTTTAGGTATTAATAGCACAATCTGGTAACTAGTTTCTTGACATCAGTCCCATACTCGTGTAACATAAGAGAACTGGTTTTTTTTTTGGTTTTTTTTGAAATTGCTGAGCACTAGAAAAGTATGAATTTCTTACTACTTAAGTTGAGTGTGTTGCAGTGAAGTTCAAGCATGGCGTATAACGGCACTGTTATTTTATTTAATAATTTTACCATGTAAGACATTTAGGCTCTCAAGATCATCAGAGCATATGAATCCAAATATGAGAAAACTCACTTTCTAATCATCTTATTAAAAAAATTTTTGAGATATAAATAATAAGCCAATATTGGAAATAAAATGGACTTATATTCAATTAATCTAAAAGCAGATAGAAAAAGAAAAATAGAATAAGAAACAGATAGAGCAAATAGAAAGCAACTAGCAAGGTGACAGATTTAAATCCAACATATCAATAATCATATTAAATATAATCTAAACATACTAATTAAAAAAGAGATCTTCAAATTGGATAAAAAAGCAAGACCTACCTATATGTTATCTATAAGAAACCCACTTTTATTAAATAATTTTAAAAATGGCGAGGATATAAGGAAACTAGAACTCTTGTACACTATCAGTGGGAATGTAAAATGGTATAATGCTGTGGAAAACAGTATGACAGTTCCTCAAAAAATTAAAATTAGAATTATCACATGATGAAGTAATTCTGCTCCTGGATATATAGCAAAAGAACTGAAAGCAGGGTCTTGAAGAGATATTTGTTCATTTGTATGAACATGGCAGCATTATTCACAATAGCTAAAGCATGGAAGCAACCTAAGTGTCCATCAATGGATGAAAGCATTAACAAAATGTGATATATATACACAAAATACACAGTG